CTTCCACCACTTACAGGATGGCACACCACTGGACAAAATGTTTTTGATGTCATCCATGCACATATGTAGGCAGGAAGTATCTGTCAAAAATTATATGTATATTCTTTAACATATATAGCCTATATATATATATATATATATATATATAGGCTATATATGTTAAAGAATATACATATAATTTTTGACAGATACTTCCTGCCTACATATNACAATAATACAAATATAAATTACAGTGCAGATTTCTCATTATCCTTATGCTCACTGGGCCTGGGCCTAGTGGTGCAAGAGTTTGGGGCACAAAAATTCAAAATAATAAAATAAGGGACAAAAATTTTATGTAGAAACAATTCACGAAGGAATTAGTGCAAATTAAAAGCTTAAATAAAGCTTAATTAGCTTAAATGCAAATTAAAAAGCTCAGAATAACTGTTGATTGGTATTAATATACAGGGTGATTATAATTAAAGTTCCACTTTAATATGGCTATAAAATGAAAACTACTGGACAGAATGTTATCAAACTGGTAATAGAGTACAGGACATCATGGGATTTTATTTCCTGCAAAAAGAAAAAAAAAAGTTCAAAAACGCACCACCAACGGGAAATGGCACTGTCTGCAATATTGTTAAACGAAATAAGACACAAAGACATTGTTGAAAATGTTTTTAATTGGTTTTAAAACACGTTACAGAGCATGTTCAATGTGGTGTCCACATTTTATTAAGAAGTTACATTGCATTACTGTGTTCTTAACAGTAGCTCTTAGCATATCAGGAGTAACCCCAAAAACAGTTTCATTTTAAAACTGATTAAAAACATTTTCAACAATGTCTTCATGTCTTATTTTGTTTAACAATATTGCAGACAGTGCCATTTTCCATTGGTGGTGAGTTTTTGAACTTTTTTTTTTCTTTTTGCGGGAAATAAAATCCCATGACGTCCTGTACACTATTACCAAGTTTGATAACATTCTGTCCAGTAGTTTTCGTTTTATGGCCATTTCAAAGTGGAAGCTTAATTATAATCACCCTGTATATGAATATATTTTGCATGAATAAAGTGATAGTACTAAGGACAGGTTTTCAATAGCAGTGTCCTTTACCCTTTCAATATTTAAAAATCTGTAAAAATACAATTATTGCAGAATTAAAATTATAAAATAGAATCATTCAGTCCAAAAATGTTATTTTTGCGGGATGCCTGCATATTGGAGGCCTAGGGGCACCATATTTCTAAATGCACCGCTGAGTGATAAAAAATGTGAATAATTGACTTAACGCAACTTTGATTTATTGAGTTTGACCTAACAAAATTGTTTGCACTGAATTTTAGAATTGATAAATTATTAAAAGAAAATAATTTATAATTTAGGAAATATATTATTTACAATATGCCATAGCCTTGAAATTTAGTTTGAAATACAGAGTGTTTTTTTTTAAACTGATGGTACTCAAGAGACATCTGTATAGCAATCTAACAGATGGACTGTTGTTAAATTTGGGAGAGTGACTAAGAATGACATGGGAAAGAGATTCCATGAAGAAAAAGAAAAGTAGTACCTAAATTTACCAGTAGGGGTGGATTTGGAGCTGCTGTAGTGAAACAGCTAAGAATTTGCATAACGCGCTGATAACACTTCAAAATCCAAATTCACAATGACGTGGTCGACAGCAGCACCATCTAATTTGAGCTTAAAAGACAAGGACAAAAGTCTGAAGCGCATTCTAGACTTCAGCAGAGTTCAACATTCATCTTTCGTTACCTCAGCGTGCGTTGCTTATGAAACTTTATTATTTTAACTAATCGAGCACACCGGGTGTTCTTCATGAGTTTAGAACCCGTAACAAGCTGTGCAGAGATCCTCTATCAATTAATGCATTGAAAGACTTGATAAAGAAATTTGAAGAGACAGGATTCTTAGCAGTTCGACCTGGTAGAGGGCACAAACCGGTATCTGCACAGAGACTTAGTGATGTTGCGATTGCAATCGGTGAAGGTTCTAACTCCTGGATCTAACCCCATGTGACTTTTTCCTATGGGGTTACTTAAAGTCCAAGGTCTATCTTGGTGGTGTCTCCAACTTGATGACCTTGAAGGACAACATTTCTCGAACTGTGATGAACATTCCTGCGGACATGTTACGTTCAGCCGTAGAGAACACTGTGTTTAGGATGCAATGTGTTGTCCAGCACGATGGTGGTCACATTGAAAGAGGGAGAAGGTTATTTGCTGATTAATTAAACTTTCATTATTGCACTGAAACCTCTGTCTGATTATTCATTCGTTTGTTTGTTAATTGCAACTGGGTTTTATGCAAATGCTTAGCTGTTTTGCTACAGCAGTGCCAAATCTACCCCTACTGGCGAATTTAGGTACTACTTTTTTCTTCACAGAATCTTATTCCTATGTTGTTGTTAGTCATTCTCCCAAATTTGGCGACAGTCTGGCTTGTGGGATCTGCGAATATCTGAGGGATGATATTTGCAGGGGTGAATGAAAATGATTGCCATGAAAGGATGGGACGAGTACGATATAGGATCAAACAAATTTTATGTACCAAAAATATAATTATATCAGATTACAATACAAGAGGTCAGCTTAGGCCTGGCACGTGGCAGCTTACACAAAGAGTCTACACAAGACAAATCGAATGACACACCTTTACACCTGAACGCCAGGAACCAGAATGCCTCGTTTCCGGTTCCCCACTATACATAACACCTCCACCACCAACACCGTGCTGCCACACGAAAACCGCTCAAAACACAAATAAAACTGCACGTACAGCAATCGCAACAATTGTTTACATTAATTACATTGGCAAAATATGTATATATACATAAAGATAATTATAAGCAAAAGAAAACAATTTTTTTTTTTATGGCAGAGACCGACAATATGCACGAGGATGAAACAGGCTGTTAGATTGCTCTACAGATGTCTCTGAGTACCATCAGTTTAAAAAAAAACATCCCGTATATATTAATTTTTTGATATTCATTATTAAGTAATGCATCATTAAAGTGATATCTTTGAATTTATTAAGACACTAATAACAATGAGAAGAGAGTTTTAAAAATCTTTATAATTAAATAAATCAGAATAATAAAAATTAAAAACTAAAAATTGAAATTACTTATTATTACATCAGCACACTGTTTGGCTGCAATTTTTAATCATAGTTTAATTTAAACAGTAAGAAAGTAAGATACAGTAATTTTAATTTACAGATACAGTAAGAAAGTATTAGACATCTATAGTAGTAAAAACCTGAAGATGGTCATTAAAGATGATTGAAAATGTTTGTTTTACTTATAAATTGTTACTTTTGTACTGAATTACTAGTTTTTTTTTTGTGCTTGTTTGTACTAATTCCATGCAGTTTTTGCTGTTAATTTTGATATTTTAATTTAAATAAATATAACTTTTGATGCTGAAACTATGATTACTTTTCCTCTATGATATTTTTTGCATAACTTTTATCACAGAAAATGCAAGATCACAGGAATATTGTGGATATTGTATACTTTAGAGTGTTAAATGAGATATTGATATTAATTTATTGTAAGGATCAATTCTATACCAAATTTATCACTCTGAATAATAAGGTAAAAATTTTGAATTGAAATTGTGTGACTTCTGGTACAGACTGGAAGTTCGTGTATAGGTTAATCCAAGTCTCCAGCTCCGAAACTTTCCATGCCTTGTCTCAATTTTCATCTATCTAACTCTATTGTTGAGATTAATGAAAGACAAGACAGACAACAGTGGAAGTGTTGAGTCTGTAGTTTGAAAATTGCAGCCCAATAAATTATATTAGTAAATTATGATAATTATTATTATTACATTTTACTTAGTTGTTGAAGAACTAATTCTAAAATTAATTTGGTTAGACAGGCAAATATCTTTACTTTGGGGAAATAGATTTGAATCCAGATCAAATTTTTCAGGATGATTTAGCTCAGATATATGTGGTCTCACAGTTTCACCTCTCACTACTTGACTGCCACATTAGTGGTTTGGTCAAACTTGTAATAGATGTGAAATAAAGATCTTCTTAGTGCCTCATAGGAATTAAGAAAATCTTAATTTCATATGTCAGTATTTTATTCAGCAATCCATTTGCCTACACACCATTGATCACTTATGAGAAATAAGTGGCAAGTGAATTTTCACTTTGTTCTATATTTATTCAAAATTACCTTATGATGTATAACTGTGTTAGTGCTTTACATTTTAAATTCATGCAGAGAAAAGGATATTTCTATATAATTATGTTTGAGGTACAGTAAGAACTAAAGAACATGTTTTCGTGTTTTGTTTTTTTATCAAAACACGGAAACATTGGGGTTTCTTATATATCCCAACTATAAGAATATTTATACAAAATAGACCAATACTATGGATGTGTAAGAGATTTGTCTTTAGTAGGTTTAAATTGTATTTCTAGATTCCTGTACATATATACATACATACATTTATGTTTACATTCACATAGGATGTCAGAAAAGTTACTGTGTCGTGAGAAATTTGTAATGACATTAAAGTTATATGTATGATAGTGCATACCGAGATCTGTAAGTTGTAGGTCCTTGCTTATTTCCACTTTGCTGTAGATGGCATTACTGCTTGTGCACATGTTCTTGGTTTGGACTGTAGTTTTTGGAAGATTTTTCTGATGATTGCATGATGGAATCTTCTGTGTAATATGGCTGCTTGGTCTCTGGACATCCCTGATTTTGGAGCCTCTGGGGGACATTTCCATCATTTACCATAGGAGAAACTGCAATATTGTAAAACTTAAACTTTTTCTACTGCACAGTAACTTTTTGGACACCTTGTATATGTTATATGTATTATAGATTTTTAATGTTTCTAGATACATGAATTATCCATTAAAATTTATATGACAATGTAACTCATTAACAAATTTTTATTTGATATAAATTATAGTGTGTTAAATTTTGAGATACAGATTATCCATAATTAATATTTTTCAGTAACAAGATGAATTTAAAGTTAGAAGAAGAATTGCAATCAAATACAACTAAAGTTGATCAAACATTTGAAGATGATGACAGATATTTTCAAGAATTAATAGATTTAATTCCTCCAAAGTTTTATTTTGATCAAGAAATAATAGACACATTAACTACTAAAAAACATAAAATAACAAATGAAAAAATAAAGGGTAAGATTTGTTGTTATATAAGTCATTTTATTAATTGTTTAAATGGTAACTGCAAAGACCTTATGATAATGATTTTTACATTCAATAATATATGATAAATCTATTATAGATAGACTAATTTTATAAACCTTTAAACAAATTTATTTTAAAAATTTTTCTAGGATTAAAAAGAAAGAAATCAGAAAAAGGAAAAAATGCAATAGCTCGATTAGATCCATATCAACATAAAACTGTTAGTGAGATTCAAGAAGAATTAGCTAAAGAAGAAGAAAAATCTAAAAGTAAGTCTTGTCTATATAATTAACCTTTCAACAGTGGACTATTCAGGTATGGTTTTATCCCAAAGTAGTGGAGAATAAATGTGGGAAATTTTTAAAGTATTTTTCCACGCGTTTTTTCTCATTATCGTTTCGGAAAAAGATTTTGTAAACAGTTATGTCTAGTATGGAAAAGTCTTTTTTTATTGTTACATAATTCATTTTTTAGGTGGATTTTTTTTTGTGGTAGTTTTTGGCTAGATTTTGGCAATACCTCCAAAATAATTTAATGGATATATCCATCCTTCACCACTGCCACACGATCGCCCTGGATGGATATATCCATCCTTCACTGCTGAGTGGTTAAAATGAAATTTGTAAAATAATTGTTTGAACTGTTACTTTTAATCTATAGACTTTTTGTTACTTTTTAAACAATCTTTTATACAGGTTAGCTTTACAATAAATTTTGTATGTGTAGTAGCAATATTTATGTAGTATTTTGCTTAATTTACATCTACCACCCTGTCTATCTATGCCTCGAACAATGATGTCCAGGTCAATCTATGGAATGCCTTCATCATTAGGCAAACTAGGAAAATTGTAACATCAGGGTTTTTGAAGCACTGGAAATTTATAAAGTCAAAAGAAGGGGAAGAATATTAATTTCAAAGATGAGAAACATTTGTCCTAAGTATGGTAGACAGTACTTTAGAAGCTGTAACCCAATGCAATTAAAGCAGAAATATTAAAGCAAAATTATTTCAAGGAATATTCCATAAATATGTTTTAAATATTTTATTTATAGTTTGTAGCCATTTTATACATGTTATTGATTAATTTTATGATGTTGATGCCTCTCATCAAATTTAAATTTATAAACATATTTGAAAATGCAATGATCTTTGAAATGCATCAATTTCAATGATATTCAAAAAGCATTCTAATTCAAAATTTTTGACCTGAAGAAGATCTGTGGAAAGGATCAGATATGTTGGTTATTTCAACCATGATTATTTACTGGAGTTATTGTGTCTTTTAAAGTGTTTTTGTGCTATGTACGTTTAATAAAACACAAGTATTAAAAAATAGGCATGGTTCTGTTATAAACAACATTATGTAGATACATTCAACTTGCAATGAAAAATCCAGCTGATTAGTTTGAAGTTTCAACTCTAAATTTCCCATTCCTTTGAAATGATCAATTGTTTACAAATTTTTTGCAGTTGTTTCTTTGAAAAATACCCCTCACGTTTTTGTCCATTCCATAGTCATAAATCAATTCATATATTGTCGAATGGTGTGGTCCTTTCACTTAAAGTATCCCTTTAGAAGATTCTAAGTATGTTGAACCATATTTAAATATGGAAGTGACCAATCAATTTATCATTTAAAAGTAAATATCCTATCTTCCAAGATGTTTTTTGACTTATTGATTTCCATGAAAACTAGAATTATCATTCATGAAACAAAATTGGTGCCTGAGAGCACTGTGGAAAAGTCTTAGCTATGACTTAATCATCTTGTTCCTATAGTATTGAGCAATCAGTGCCTCTTGCAAATATATGAAATGATAGGCACCTGTTAAACATAAATATCACTCAAACTCAAAAAGATTGTTATTTCTCTCTTATTTTTGATAGGAAATTAGAGAATTTTTTTATTCTTTCTAAATGAATCAGTTATAAATTGAATCTTACTCATAAGTAAAAATAATCAGTTGATGCATTTGCCTGACTGATACAATCTCTTCAGTAGTATTAATTAATATCTGTACTAGTTTAAGCAGCCTTCTATGAAAAATTTTGACACTAATGAAAGTTTTCTTTCAGTCTTCTCATTAAATTGTCTCAATCAATGGAATAATTATATCAAGAAAGTTACTTTCTCTGAAATAATTACTTCATTGAAGAGCATTCCAGAGAGAATTCTGGCTGCTATAGTGTTTTCAGTTTAGATAAACATATTATTACAGCTAATGCAAAATTATCTTACATGGACTACAGTTTATTCATTCATATTTCACTCAATATTGTCATGAACATCTATCTAAAAAGTGATTTTAAGTGTTTTAAAACATTTGTCTGAGATGAATTTATTTTCCAATCTTCTTTTGACTCTAATCTATTGAATTATACAAATATGAAACATTATTGATATTTATTCCAGGGATTATTTTTACATTTTCAATGAGAAGTAATAATTTTGTACTAGCAGGCATAGATTCGTTTTTGGAGAAAGGACATGCTTGGGCCCACATTATAGGATTTAGTGGACTTGTTCTGGTACTGTAACATTAGAGTAATTGTTGGAATAAACAAATAGCTAAGATTAATAATATTCTCTAACATAGTATAAAAGTTATGAAAGATAAAATGAACAAAAAACTGCAATGGCTCAAGATTCCAGCAAGCATAAGAAAAAGTGTATGCCGGTAAAATGTGAGTATCACGATTACTTCAATGTTATAGCACCAGAATGAGTCCACCAAATCCTACAATGTGGTCCCAAGCATATCCCCCTCCAAAAAGGGATTTAAACCAGTTAATTTCACCAGTTATGACAGCAATAAGGAGCTGTTGTCAAGAAAATCAAAAAATAAATCTAGAAATTGCCACCATCTTGGAAATACGCTTGTCCCAATGATATTGAACACCTAAACTGATCAATAAGGAGTGTTATGTAGTGAACCAATTCCTTTTAAAGCGAACTTAAGACTGATAATTTTGGACAAATTTAAACACTTTATGTTGTGCAAAAGCAATGATTTTGTATCTTTTCAGCTTTAAATAGTTATTTAATTTTTATGTTGAGAGCTTGTTTGCAATTTAAACTACAGAAATAGATTTATCATGTTAAAATGAATATATAGCATAAATATTTTAAAATTTGGTTAATTGGTTTTACTTTTTATAAAAAATCATTTGACACTTGAGTTAAATTGTATTTTTTGATGGTCGATTATTTAAAGAAAATGAAAATAAATATAATTTTTTATTTCTAGCTAGTAAATTTCCTGTGACTTCTCAAGACAGATCTTCAAATTTGCAGGAATTACAAGAAAGATTAAGAACAAAAATAGCATCATTATCAGGTTTGTTATATTATTTTACATGATAGAATACACAACATCACTTTGTAATGAGATATATAAATATTAATATTTTAGAAATATTCTTATTACACTGAACATATTCTAAATGAAAATTAGAATCTTTACATTTGGATTAATTAATTAAAATTATATTATTTTGAAATATAGAAAACAGAACAACAAAATTGGTAAATGATAATTACTTATGATAAAAAAAAATATATAAAAATATTGAAATGTCTTGTAATATCTTAAAATAATAGAAAAATATTTTAAGTTTCATTTTCAGTATATTTTTGTTTTACACAATTTTACTTTTAAGTATTTTTGTTTCCAGACTCCAATTTCTGTTGTAACATGGGAATTAATCTAGGGATTTTTAATTATTCTAATGTTAAAATATTCTACATATAGGTTGGTTTTGCTACACATAGGTGGTGACTTGATTAATTGAAATTGCATCTTAAAAAATTACTTTTTTTTATTGTTTTACTCAATGTTTTATGTGCTAATTTTTATTTGGATATTCAAATGCTATAAATTCATCATTCTTAGATTTCAGAATAACTTCAAATAATTAATAATTCATATTTTTATTATATTTGTCAACTTGGACTTAAATTATTAATAGGACTGTTAAACTGGTGTTAAGTATTAATACAAAATCGAGCAAAAGTTCTCAAAGAAAACAGACTTCCTTTATTGAGCTTCCTGTACACATACTTTTGTTTACAACTGTGTTTTGGGCTATTACGCCCCTCTTCAGCAGGGTTACAATGGCTATCGTTTTAAGCCATTGTAACCCTGCTGAAGAGGGGCATAATAGCCCAAAACACAGTTGTAAACAAAAGTATGTGTACAGGAAGCTCAATAAAGGAAGTCTGTTTTCTTTGAGAACTTTTGCTCGATTTTGTATTAATACTTAACACCAGTTTAACAGTCCTATTAATAATTTAAGTCCAAGTTGACAAATATAATAAGCATTGAAATAAGGACAATAAGGCAATAATAATTAATTAATAATCCAGTTTTTATTTAATCAGAAGCCACATTTCCAATACTAGTTCCAGTGTTCCTACACACCTGAAAAGTCAGGGAATTTGCCTCCTTGGCTTCTTTGTTGATGTTTTTGCTGATAATATGCTTCACTAATGGCAGCTGTCTGCAGGCAGCAAGAAATAATGTGGTGCAATAGAACTTATGAAAAGAAATCAGGTCCGGACACTGGGATGAATATAAAATTAGATTCACTTTAACCTTTAACCAGTGTGTATTATGATTAATGATTTACACCGTATACACACAAATTAAAGGTTCAAGTGAATCTAATTTTATATTCATCTGGGTGTGCTGTCCTGATTTATATTATTCAGCAATGCTGGCTAAACTTTATCGTAAAATTGTGATGAGCCTAATACCCCGTTCGCACCGAGCATTTCGATCTAGATTGTGACTAAGGTCGAAGAGTGTTCCGTGGTGCAAACGCTCTTGACTGTTTCAATCTCGACTGAAACGAGGTTCAATCGCGATCGATTGGAGAGAGTTCTCAAAACTAGATCCAGTCATAAGAGAGATCCCACAATCCCATGCGCGCGAGAAAATACAAGATGGCTGCAGAACATGTGTCGGTCTATCGACTGAGAAATAAAAAAGACATCTGGAGAGACAACGACATCTGTCTATTATTAGATGTATGGCAAGAAAAAGTATTTATTTCTAACCAAAACTTCCATTTTGTTTGTTAGTGTTTGTGACTTACTGCATAGTTACGTCAGTTTTATCATTGCGTGTAATAGCCAGGTTCTTCTCGAGCGGACTGCCTGTGCGAACAGCATGACATTCGACTAGTGACAGTTACAATCCAGATTGTAGATAAATCGAGATTGAAGTGAGTCGTGGATTGTGTGCGAACGTAGTATAACTAAGACCAGAACAAGGCTGGATTTTTTAATGATGTGCAAGAGAAATCAAGTGTTCCCCACGTCAATATTTCATATTCACCTACCACCTGGAAATGAACCTCTATGTAATAAGGTAAGGTGGATGTGCATGAACAGAGCATTAGGGGGACCAGGAAATTGGTCTATTTAACTTGGTGAAACTTATAAACATCGAGAATTCTTTATTCCAATGAGACTCATGGATGTTAGTGATTGAGAACGCTAAACTTATCAACATACAGGATAGACTGAGATCCAACTTGAGGAAACATTACAACAAGAAACTGCACTGGATTCTCCACTTTCAACTACCCAAGAGCTGCAGCGAACAGGAATGTCCATTTATTGTGTGGGATGACCTACAAGTGCCTGGGTTTGTCAAAGAAGTCCTGGACCAGCGTTAGCTCCTACTCCTCCCATGAACAATGCTATAAGATCTTGCATCCTGGATTTGGAGATCTTGTTACAGGGCCTTTCCGATAGACAAAAGAAGTATTATAGATGGATGACCACATTCAAAATTAAAAAGACTAGGGACTTGTAGAAGTTCTCAAATTTAGAGAAAAGATAAGATGCATGGCTAGATGGATACATCTAAACAGAGTTACATTAGTTAGGACAGACAAAGCAAAACTCTTGGTGCTTATGAAATGCAAAACTTATGAAAGAAGCCTACGTGAATACGTCAACGTAATCCAATGCACCAAGGTTGAGGAAAACTGGATTGATAGTTACATTCAAGAGTTAAGCGTTTTGCCAATACAAAATTGGCAAGCAAACTAGCTATGAGTAATGTTGTCATGGATGCACCTGAGATCCCTAAATTATTTGCCTTTGCCAAAACACACAAGCAAGGGCAACAATTACACCCAGTTGTTGACAAAGCTAGGGCTCCCACCCATAGATTGGAGAAAGCCACACATAACCTGCTTTACTCCACATCTGGATGGATATCAGTTTGCCATCTCCAGCCCAGTAGAACTAATTGAGCAGCTCAAAGTAATTGCCTCCCCAAATACATTATAGTGTTGGACTTTTGATTCTTGTACCCCTCAATAGAACTACCTCCCTATTTCTGTGCTCTCAGAGACTTCTTCTTTACAAGAGTGGACAATACTGCAATGCATCAACATATACTGGAATTGGCTCACTTGACGTGTTATAGTTCTATATTTCAATTTGATGAGGTTGTATACACACAGAGTAAAGGAGTCTCCATGGGCAGTCTGGTTTCCGGTGACCTGTGTGAATTGGTTGTCAGACAACTGGAGAGCAGGACCCTTTCCCACTTCCTCCACAACATCATCCTATACAAGAGATACATTGATGACATTATCATTTTTTGGAGGACAACACTGAATCTGACCCAATTTGTCTTCACAATGAATGATAATCCATACGGGCTATTCCTGGAGATAGAACAACACAGCCACACCAGGGTCCACTTCTTAGACATAAATATTGGAATTGAGGGGTCAGACATGCACGTCTGTCTCTATATTCTTTCCCTGGGCTCTTGTAATTGCCCATGTCTCAGCACTGTGCATCAATTTCAGGTTTTACCAAGATTTTGTATAATCTTACTTTCATTTTGCAGTTTATTTTCTTATTTACAAAGCACCCCACTCAGAACTCAGCCAGCTCAGTTCAGCCATCCACTCTGAACTCAATGCTGGATTTCTGCACTCATTCTGCCATCACTTACTACATATGATCAAAGATACTTAAATTTGGAAGTTGTTATTAACTTTTCACTTTTGCATTATATATAATCCTCATCCCCTCCACCATTCATATGCATTTCATAAATGAAGGTTTTTATTGTTTACTAGCTGTTACCTGCGGTTTCGCCCACATGGATTTTGCAATTTGATAGAAATAACCCTCCCTCGAAAAATCGTCCCAGTGACTCATCACGTTAGCCACTATTTCTGCACATACTTTTTTGGCCATCACTTGAGTGTCATATAAAACAAAGGATATTGCTCTAAAAAGACAAGCTCCGTCGCATATTATTGGAACAATGGTGTGGAGCATCATAACACCATTTATATTCAGTATTTCAACAACCATAGTAATTATTTAATTTATAACAATGTTATATAACACATACCCCTTATTGCTGAGAATCATTTTACTGCTTCAAAGAAATGTTTTTCAATCTGATCAATTTTCTGGAATGTTTACAATCATTGTACAGTAGAGCATTGTTTATCCGAAAGCCGGTTATCCGAAACGTCGGTTAATTGAAAGCATTCCAGTTGGCAAATTTAAATTTTCGCTAGTCTGTGGTGCTGCAATCTTTGGCTATATCTTGGGCTACTCCAATACTTTTTTGTTGGTGTGTATGTTTTAGCTGGCAGCACTGGCACTTTTGTGTGGTGTTTTTCTGAGGACTGTGTGTCATGCCGAATTGAACGTTTTTGATACTAGATCAACTTTTAAAGTATATTTTTTTTGGTTTTTATATTTTTCAATATATTTATTTTGTTTGTAAGAAATAAAGAAATAATTTTTAACGATACAATAGCCACGATTATTATTTTAAAAAGTATATGTTAGGCTTAACATCGACGAAAATTCAACGCGAAGCGACACGCAATTGAGAAAAATTTCAACACGGGCTAGGTTAATATATTTTTTAGTACATAATCGGTTATCCGAAAAATAAGTTATTTGACAACCTCAGTCCCCAATTGATTCGGATAAACAATGCTGTACTGTATAATCGAACCAATATGCAATAACAAATTTGAATTTAAAATGGTTTGAACATTTGGTTAAAAAATTGTAAAACATAAATATTGTATGTTTGGAAATTAAGTTATTACTGCCAGAAACAAAAAATCTCATCTAAAATAGTACAGTAAAAGCTGTTCTTCAGTTTAAGCCTTAGTTTTCACCCTCTCCCTCCTCGGGGGAATTTTGAAAAATCCCTTCTTAGTGTGCAGTCTCGTGCCATACCCTACTAAAATGCAGTTAAAAACAAAAACTTGCATCTAAAATAGTACAGTAGAAGCCGTTCTTCAGGTTAAGCTTTAATTTTCTCCCTCTTCTCCC